GTTTTTATCATCAAAGCTTGCTTAAACTACTTTTCAGACATTTTTTAGTTGAATGGTTCAGGGTGTAGCCCACCTTCCCCCCATAGACTGCTGGAGGTAGAAACCACCCCCACTGAGAGCCTGATGGATATGAAGAAGAAGATGGATGGAATTATTTAGAGTAAAATCTGTTCCTTTTTCATTTTCACCTATAAATCTTTTTAGTTTTTCATTTTTCTGTTTCAATTTTTTTTCCTTCAGTTTAAGTTTTTTTAAAGTGAAATAAAATGGTTCTGAACAAAGTATATAACTCCAATGTAGCTCCATAGATGTTCACCTAACTTTGTGGGAAGGAAAGTTCTTCAGATTCAAAGGTAAAGTATTAATAAGATAAAATTCCAGAGATCTAAAACTTGTAAACTGATCATTTGTGGAGGTGTAAAGTTAACATCCCAGGTGGACAAACATGTCAGGGAAAGATACCTATGAAGTCCGTTAACTACAGGCTACTTAACTATAGTCTGTTTTTCCTCATTCAATTTGTTTAGAAGAAAATATTGGGCATTTCTTATTATGGTCACATGTCTGTACCTGTAGACTTCTCTAATTGTGAACCATCATCAACAGGAGTCAAAGTACTGTTACAGTCATAACTATGTATCAAGAGAAGAAGTTTCAGAGTAAACAAAGTGAAGAAATTTGAGTTTCAAACTAATAATTTGTCATACAAAAATTATTTCAAGATGTTTTCAGGGGAGAAAGTAGACCTACAAACTTCATCCATCAGTCAATCAAGAATGAGCCAACTTTAAAATGACTTTTGGAGGTTTCAAAGCAGCGTAGCCCCACCCACAGGCCACGGTGGCTACATGTTAGGCGGGTGGTTGGGGTGTTTACTCGCTATCATCAGCTTGATGGCAGTCATAGGCCCAGTCCCATTTCTCTTATTTGCACTCATATTGGACCTTAACACTCGGCTTTGCGCGTTCACGTCTAAGGTTAGTGTGTCCCAATAGTTATAAGAGCTAGGGGGAAGAGAACTCCAACCCTTAAAATNAACAGGAGAAAGGCTTCTCACCTGTGTAATTTTCATGAGTCTATTAAATTAGATTTAAAGGTGAAGCTTCTTCCAAAAGACTGACATTAGCAAATCTCCCGACCTGTGTGAGTTCTAATCTGAACCTTTAAATACTCTTTTTTTTTTTATATATATTTCTCCACATCTCAAATATGTGAAAGGTGTTTATCTTGCATTTCCAGTCTCGTGCTCCAGGACAAGCTGCTTTTCATGCTTACTTATGTGGAGCTCCTTGGTTTCCTCTTTTATTGAGGGATGTGTTGGCTTTTGCTGCTCTTCTTTTATCTGCAGAGGTTCTGGTTCTGCTTGGTCCAAACTGGAATGCCTCTCCTGTTCAGAGAACTCCTGCCCAGGGAAAACCTCTTCTTTTCCAACATAATCCTGCAGGCGGTCTGGATAAACAAACACAAGAGAAAGACTTTGAATTGCAGGTTAAAGAAAGGACACTTCACTTTAACCATCCATGTTTTGATCAAGCTGCATATAACCAGAGTAGAACTACATTTCCCAGCATGCACTGCAGCTCTGACATCACATCACAGGTTAGAAAGGACCAGGCAATGTTGTGCTGTTGTCTAGAAAGGTTTGAGCCTCCACTTTATCATCAAAGCTTGTAAACTACTAAACTACCTAAACTACCGTAAATCCTCTAATATTGGCCTGTATTCCATTAGCAGCCAGGTCTCTAATAATGGCCGGTTTTGCTGTCGGCGGGGGTAAGTAATGGCCGGAGGCTAATACAGGCCGGGGCTATAATTGGAACCAACAATGTTCCTGTGCAGTCCTCAGCAACCTCTGATAGTAACATGCAAGTACCACGGGGGGCAGTGTTTGCTAACGAATCCAATCCATTAGCTTGGGAATTCCCATCCTTAGTGCAGACAGTGCTGCAGACAGGAGGCCGGCTTATGACCGGCTGTGATGGCAGAACAGTTTCCATTAATTTATTTTAAAACTTTGTTTGGCCAAGAATCCATTCTGTGTCTTTTTTTTTTGTATTGCCGTGCAGAAAAATAGCAGCTGCTGGAAAATGTCTGAATAATGTTCTGTAAACCGTTATGGTAACTGTACTTTTTCAATAAATTAACC